TGCATATTGATTTACACTCATGCAAATGTATATTTTTCTGTCTATAAAAAAAGTCTACTCGGATATTAAATCTACAGTGTCTATGTGTGTGTGTGTCCAGACTATACGCAAGTGCCTGCCCTGTGTTTGTGTATGTGTATGTGTTTGCACTTCACACAGCCCTGTAGGCCAGCTCTCTGTCTCGCTAAATGGGGATGAATAGCAGAGCGTCGCCGCTGCTCAACAGGAGACGAATGGCTACGGGGCTTTCTGTCTCCAGTTACACACCGATCACTGCCTGTCACACACACACACACACACACACACACACACACACACACACACACACACACACACACACACACACACACACACACACACACACACACACACACACACACACACACACACACACACACACACACACACACACACACACACACACACACACACACACACACACACACACACACACACACACACACACACACACACACACACACACACACACACACACACACACACACACACACACACACACACACACACACACACACACACACACACACACACACACACACACACACACACACACACACACAGGAATGGTCATCTATCCACCTAAATGTTATCTGGGCTACACACCCACATGTAGCTGAGCTATCATGTGGGCAATCATGGTGTTCAAAGAGCAAGACATCTGACACCACAAACGTCTTCTGACTTTGAGGATTTTTGTGTTGTATGTCAATAGCAGTAAAAAGAATGTCAAATATAATTTGACCATCCAAACTGATCATTAGAACTGTCATCCTATGTGCTTTCTTAATGGGATCTATTGTAGTGTATGAAATTATATTTAAATGTAGCAAAGTCAAGCAAGTCATGAAAACCCAGAGAATCACTCTCGTATCAAATACTTGCAAGCTATATCAAACTGAAAATGTATTTTCACAAACACGCATCCCCACGCGATGAATGCAATATATTCCGAGAGGCGAGGAATGGAAGGAAGGGAGTGTAGAAAGAAAAGAGAAAGCAGGAGTGAGAGAAAGAGAAAGAGTGCATCCTGGGATGCAGAATGCCAAATACAGTGAGATAAGAGTTAATGTATCCCCCTCAGCCCCCTCGTTTGGCTCTCTCTTTCTTCCTTCCTCCCTCCCTCCATCCCTTCCCTCCCTCCCTCCCTCCTCCTCCCCGTTTGCTTTGAGGGATGAATAATAACTGCTGCTCTGAGATTTCCTCCCTCGTTTTTCAAAGCGCAGAACGGAGATGGGGAAGGTCTGCCTGGCCCGGGCTGCGCGTGCGGGCTGGAACATACACACACACACACACACACACACACACACACACACACACACACACACACACACACACACACACACACACACACACACACACACACACACACACACACACACACACACACACACACACACACACACACACACACACACACACACACACACACACACACACACACACACACACACACACACACACACACACACACACACACACACACACACACACACACACACACACACACACACACACACACACACACACACACACACACACACACACACACACACACACACACACACACACACACACACACACACACACACCGTCTTGTTCTCGCTGCTCGCCTGGAGCAGGGAAATCAGATCTCCTCCAGAGAAAGACGGGACGGGGGGGGGGGGGGGGGGGGGTCTAAGGCGCTGTAGGGAGCCCATACAAAAAAAAAATCCCCTGCAAGCATGTATAGGGCTATACACATCACAAAACCCACACGCAGCATCGAGGGAAACCAAGAATAACTAGGAGGATGCGAGCTGCCTCCTGGAGCGACAGGGTGAACTCAAGGTTAGAGACAAATCACCGGTTCAAGCCCCGCCGCCAGGGCCAATCCGTCCGCGCTGAAGCACCCCTCTGCCGGGCACGTAACGCTGATTGCTTAAAGGCATCTATAGTTCTCCCGCCATGTGCCGTGCTTTGGAGCTTAGGGCTCGGAGAGAAAGCCTTGAAGATGAGAGGAAAAGCAGACACTAAATGGGGATGCCAGTTTATTTGCGCTTGGTGTCAAAAGGGGAACGTGGGCTGGCGAGGGGGGTTTAAGCACAGAGCGCAGAGTTCTCGTAAAAAAAGACAAGCAGGCTGTCCAGGAGGAGCACTTGCACGTCAAGCTGCGACGCGCCGCGGAAATCAGCAGCTAGGTTTCAGAGGAGAGGGCTTATTTATGCAAACAGGCATACAAGCACGCACAGTAGGAATCTAGACAAGCCTTGTAAACAAACACACACCCACACCATAAAGCACACAGGGGAGGCGATGTGAGAAGCAGACTGTGAAAACTCTAGTCGTGCCCGGGCAGCGCGCGCACACACACACACACACACACACACACACACACACACACACACACACACACACACACACACACACACACACACACACACACACACACACACACACACACACACACACACACACACACACACACACACACACACACACACACACACACACACACACACACACACACACACACACACACACACACACACACACACACACACACACACACACACACACACACACACACACACACACACACACACACACACACACGAGCTGCGAGAGAGAGATTGAAGTGACGAATAGGGACGGAAAAGAAGGACAAAGAGAGAGGAGGAGAAGGAGGAGGGATAAGTGCGAAGGTGCGAGTGTCTGGTGCTACTTTTGTGTTGCCAAACGAGGACACGTCAATGAGTGAGATAGAGAGAGTGTGTATGGTAAAAGGGTCTATAATGACTCGAACCATGCATGTGTGTGTGCGAGCGCGGGCGAGGAAAAAAGTAGGAACGCTTTCCCATTTCAATTCGCAACAGCTGGTGTCGAATTAACACATTTACCAGTGTGCATTTGGAACAGATTAAAATTGTGTGTGGCGTGTGACTGTCTCTACACGTGTGTGTGTGTGTGTGTGTGTGTGTGTGTAAGCAGATGAGGGCCAAAACAAGAGTGTGTTTGTGTGTGGGAGTGTCTGTGTATTAACGCAATGGATCAGGGCAGGAGGGACAGAGAAGGGGAGAGAAAGAAAGAGAGAGCAGCAGGGAGGGATGTAGAGAAGGGGAGAGAAAGAGCCAGAGAGAGCTCTACCCAACGGCTTTAGCTGCTGCCCTGGGCCGTCTCTCTAAGCCCTGTTTAGGAGGCTTTGGAGCTCAGATAGAAATAATCCCCCACTCAGACACACACACACACACACACGATAGGCATGCACACACATAATAAAAATTAAAATGCACACACGCGTACATACACAAACACGCGGGAATGCTCACAAACAGACACGCAAGTCGAGGCGAAAAAACAAGTGCGCACATAGGCCTACGAGGCAACAAGCAGCGACAGCACATTCGCCTTGACACGAAACCAACCACCCGCCTACACACAGTCACACACACACACGAGCAGAAACACACACACACCGAGGCTGCTGCTTCCGCACGGCAGAGCACAGCGACATCAGCACGGCACCGTGACAAACACTTTACACACTCCAGCACTCAGCAGAGGGGAGGGATAGAGGGAGAGATTGGAGAAAGAGGGGAGGAGGACGAGGCGGAGGAGGATATGAGCCAGGGAGGGAGGTGAGTGAGCAGGGGAAGAGGGAGGGGAGGCTAACAAATTAATAGGAGCCGGAGATATACACAGCCAGCGCTGCAAACGGGGGAGGTGGAGAGGGAGGAGGAGGAGGTGGAGGACGACGAGAGAGAGCAATTCATTCCCGTTTTCTCCTCGTTCGCTCTCTGGAGGAAGGCTGCGCGAGCGAGCGTATTTGCTCAAGGGGAGGGGAGAGGAGGGGAGGGGAGAGGGGGGGAGGAAGAGAGGGGGCTTTGTTTGGCAGAAGAGAGGAAAAGTGGAGTAGGAGATTCTCATGTTTTTAAATTATTATTATTTGGTTTATTATTATAGAATTAAATGAATTGACTATGTGCATTATCCTGCACAAAAATCAAGAACTCACCTTAACTTTTTCTATTGTTCTGTGTATTGCTTTGTTTTTTTTAAATTTAATACATTTTCTAAAATGTTTACTGTTTTCCTTTTAAAAGAAAACATTTTATTCTTGGTTCACAATGTTTATGAACTTACCGGTACATTCCAAATGTATGATTATCTTGATTTGACAAAGCTTTGGCAATACTGCATGTCATTATAGTCATGCTAATAAAGCTATTTGAATTGAATATAAACACAGAAGGAAAAGGTGTCGAAAAAAAGAGGGGAAATAATGAAGACGTCTTGCACGCGAGGAAGAGGAAGAGAAAGTGACAGGGAGGGAAGGGGGGAGAGGAAAGGGGGGTAGTTGTTTTGGGGTTTGCACAGGATGCAGTTTGTCATCTTCATCAGTCGACAGTTGGGGGGAGAGAGGGAGGAGGGATGGAGAGGTGGAGGAGGAGGAGAGGGGTGAGGTGAGGGGGGGATGGGCGGTGTTTAAGCGGAGCCTTTGAGAGACGTTGACCCTGTAATTGACCTGTGTCTCCGCCTACATCGCCGGGGCGACAAGCAGAGCCGCTGCAGCTAATCACTTAGTAACCCTGACCTGTCAATCACACCGGTCTCCGCGTGGAGGAAGGGAGGGAGCGGCAGCAAATGAAAGAAAGAGGGGGAGAGAAAGAGAGAGGGGGGGGAGGAAGGGAGTGAAAGAGTAATAACAGCACCGAGGTTATCATTTACTGGACTGCTCGCTTCCCTCAGCCGATGAAGCCCTGGTTTTAAAAAAAGCCAATAAAATGCTCTGTGCCTCGAACACACACAATCTCCTCGTGCTGCTATAGAGAGAGAGGCTTTCTGAGGGTTCAGATAAGAGGGAGCACGAGAGGGGAGGCAGGTGAGGTAGGGAGGGGTGATGGGTTGAGAAGAGATAAGATAGCTGCATAGTGAAGCCAACATGCCAATAAAACAACGGAGTGCCGAGTTTATGTGCTGTATAGGTGTTGTGTGTGTGTTACCTGTTGATGAGGGGGAAGATGGACACCACCAGGTAAACGGAGGGATACCACTTCAACGGTTTGATCTCCTCGGCCAAGGAAACCTGGAGGAGAGAAAAGTGACTGCTGAGAAACGTAATACTCACATTAACACCCTTGTCTCTCAAAGCACACACACACACACACACACACACACACACACACACACACACCCACACCACACCCACACACCACACACACACACCACACACCACACACACCACACCACACACACACACACACACACACACACACACACACACACACACACACACACACACACACACACACACACACACACACACACACACACACACACACACACACACACACACACACACACACACACACACACACACACACACACACACTTCGGGACTTAACTGGAAGATCGGTGCACTGAGGAAAACAACAAAGGCCAATTAAACCCTAATAAAATATTAACCTGCTGATAATACGCAATATCCACACAGCTATGAGGAGAAACGGGGATTCCAATTAAACTGGAAGCCAATACTAATGCCGTAATGTGAAGGGGGGGATGGATTCAATATCTGGTGGACGGGCGGGCAGGAAGACGGAGAGATGCGGCAGCAGCAGCAGCAGCAGCTCTAAGCCGAGGAGGGGGAGTGCTTTTACAAGCCGTTATCTAATTCCCCGGGGAGGAGGACTCTTGCGCCCGGAAGAGGCTGAGAAGCGCGGCCCCTGGATCGATTTTCCGTGCTGTTTTTCCACCCCTCCTCCTCCTCCTCTTCCTCCTCCTCCCCTAGGCTAGAGCGCAGTAGCAGCGCAAAGCCTCCCTCCCTCTCTCGCTCTAACACACACACATAAAGTGGAGGCCAGGAGGCAGGCCCACGAGCTCTGGTCTCTACCCCCACATGCTGGAAATTAATTACTCACCAGAAAGACCCCGAGGCGTGCAAGCTCTAACGCAGGCATTTTAAACAATTAAAATGAAAATCACGAGAGCCCCCCGGAGGTATTTCTTCTTTTGTGTGTGTGTATGTGTGCACGCACGTTGAATATGTTGACAATAAGAGCCACATTTTCACCGTGTAACGTACACTGGCTGTATGTGATCAGCTGAACAGAACTCGGTCGTGTTTCCACATCACAGCCGGTTACAGCATAAACCCAAAGGCAAGCATTAGGCTTAGCCCTATTAATGTCTATCATGATGGGGAGCTCTGACATCACCGGACATGTCAAGCTCTGCCTATTGTCATCTCAAGTGGGTGTGTTTGCCTGGTGTGTGTGTGTGTGTGTGTGTGGGATGACTGTGTCATTGGAAGAGAGGAAAAGGGCAAGCCGCAAGCCTGAAGGATGCTAAGTGGAAAAGAAGATTTGTGGGTGTGTGAGCCACTGCAGAAATTGTGTTTTAGAGCCTGCATGGAACCAGTATCTCAGATGAAAATTCGTTGAGGTGTAGAGGCAGGCATTTGAGGAATTTCAATGCCCAAGAGACAGGATGTGGAAAAGGAGGAGGAGGAGGAGCGCGGCTAAAGGGCCTGGTGTTTTTAATCACAGTCCTCCCGTGTCAGAGGCCCCGGCGCTGCTCGGGAAGCAGAGGGGAATGAAACCGTAATTATGTGCGGCGGGCACTGCGGTCCCAACCTTAATGACGCAAGCTAGATTACAGACGGTTATCGGGAGCAACCCATCCCCTTTACCACCCACTGCACCCTCACTCGCGGAGGAAAAATACTCTAAGAATAACAGCATCAGGTTTCATCGTCAAATTCAAGGACTTTTCAAACTACGTATTTTTTGAGTGAAAATGACAGACCAGTGATCATCATAAGGGGTTTTCTCAGGGTTCATTTGTATTTATATAGCCACATTTTTTAAATGTCCAATTTGACCAAAAAGAGGCTTTAAAATGATAAAATGATGAATTAAGTCGTTTAGGAAAGAGATTTGGTAAATTGTGTTTTGAGAAATAAGTATCATTTTGACAACTGCTGTATCGAGCTTTAAAAATGTTTTCTTTTTTTTGTATTCTCTTTGCCTTTTTGCCTTTATTGATTGCAAAGCTGGAGATAGGCAGAAAATCAGGGAAGAGAGGGGAGAGCATGCAGCAAACAAATAAATAAAAGGGGTAGTGGTCTGCATTAATGACTCATTCTAAACATGCATTTGCTCTGCCTGGTGTGCTGCATGTACCCTCCTCTATCTCAACTTTTAAACTTAATGAAAAAAGCATCCTCCTGTTCAATTTCCCAAATTGGGATCAATAAAGTACCATCTTATCTTATCTTGTCTTCATTAGATGTTTTCTATGTCTAATACAAGTTGAGCAGTTTTCTTTTTCTCCAATAGCCATTTTTAAGCCAACATGGACAAGAAGTCCTTTAGAAAATATAAAAAAGGAGATTTAAACACATACAATATTATGACAGCTAAGCAAACTCAGGGATGAGGTTTGGTCAAATTGAAAGCTCCAAAGCAACTATAAAATGGCACAATTGGCGAGATTGTCTGGCTGGAACTAAAATGCCATATTTTAATTATTTTCCATAATCCTTTCTTAAAATACCTTGACTACACAATTTGTTTTTCTAAAAATCGATTTTCAGGGACAGTTAAAACCCAAAAGCATCCCGTCAAGCAACCAGAAGTACTGCTGAGCACTCGAAACAACACATACCTGACAGCTGGGAAGTGGATCCCTACAAAAGGAGTTGTATGTGTTTTGTCAAAGCCACATGTCGTTTTGGAGAGCCCTTAGGAGACAAACCCAACTGTCCTTGCAGCTTACTCAGAGTAAAGAAGTACTTCAGGATGTTGGTGACATGTAAAAAGTGAAACCTGGCACATAAAACACACACACACACACACACACACACACACACACACACACACACACACACACACACACACACACACACACACACACACACACACACACACACACACACACACACACACACACACACACACACACACACACACACACACACACACACACACACACACACACACACACACACACACACACACACACACACACACACCACACACACACACACACACACACACACACACACACACACACACACACACACACACACACACACACACACACACACACACCTCGCATTGTGACTCAAGGCAAAGCTTGTGTGGATCAGTAAACAAACACCCTGGGAAGATAACGAACAAGCAGCTCGCTGTTTACTCTTTGTTGCTACCCGACGGGACTGAGCTGCTGTGTGAGCAGTTGTGCAAATGTCTTTAAAGGTGTGAGTGAGGCCTGACTTAAACACCCTCTCCTGAATACCCCCCTCGCTGACCTGCGCTGCTGCAAGACCTTGTGGTGTGTGTTTGTGTTCTCATGCATGACCGCAAACAAATTGCTCGGGACACATAGAGATGTGTCACAATCATGTGACTGACGGACCTGATAACTGCCAACGCCGGCCACACACACACACCCACACACACAGCGAGGGAGGGGGATGGTGCCGGGCTGAGTCAGAGAGAGAGATAAAAACAGGATCGAGAATGGCATACGCAGAAAACCACATGTTTGACCACACAAAACATGAGAAGCGTTGATATGTGTGTGTGTCTGTGTGTGTGTGTGTGTGTGTCCGGCGTCCATGTGTACAGTAACAGAGAACATGTGAGGTGCAGAAGGAGGAAGATGTGGCGAAGTGAATAGAAATAACCAGAGCCAGCGGTCTTCAGAAACCCAGCAGGAATTGCTTTCTCTAGTTTACACCTGCTGCAAAACACACACACACACACACTCACACACTCACACTCACACATGAGCCAGGGCTCGCTGGCTTGGCAAGCACAATCGGGGAGGCTGTTGTTGTTGTTTTAAAGCATCGCAGCGCGTGCATAAACTCTCATAAATATTCATGCCCATGAACCTGGCCTGCTGCTTTATTCATGCTGGTTATGAGTACAAGAGTGAGAGAGATGGAGGGAGGGAGGAAGAGAGGGAGAGGGACAATGAAAGAGAGGGGGGAAAGAAAGAGAGCACAAAGCAAAAAGGCAGGGAGGAAAACAGAGGAAAACAAGGTGAGCTACTGGGAAAGAGATATACGAGGAAACGGAGAGTGTGATAGAAACCACTGCTGACTTATTTACACTCTGTGCAACACATAGCAATTAGCCCACATGAGCAGAGAGTGCGGGTGTGAATGTTGCTGACACACATTCATGCACACACACGTCACTTGTGAGGGTTATGCCAGTTCAGTGTGCAGTAATTACATCTGCCACTTAGGGGCAGCATCTACATAACCTTAACCCTAACCTGCCCCCCCCCCCCCCAACACACGCATCTCCCTGCGGGGTGGAGGTGTAACACTAGAGCAAGGGAAGGAGGGGTGAGGTAACCTAAAGCAAGACTGCACCTTTTCAACTGTTCCTCAGTAAGGCTGTGACTCTGATCACCTCTGTGGAGGGTGCTCGGTGGATTGCAGCGCTTTACATTTTAATTATTGGTCGTCTCCATATTCATGCACCATGCGTGGGCAGGTAAGGGTGAGGTGTCTTTCTGGAGGACACTTGAACAAGATGTTTGTATAATAGCCAGATAAAGACTTAAAGGGGAAATACTTTCCAGAACCTGAAAGAATTTGATTATTTATTCAAACATGTTTTCCAGCAATTTAGTACTGCGCTTCCATAAAGTGTACGGACCTATATGAGACACATTTCAAACAGCAGAGGCCTAGAGATCTTGACATTTAGTCCAAAGCACGGGTCAAACCCTCTGTAACCTACATTTACCAAATGCAACCCATAACGTCTTTTTGTTAGACCCTCTCTGACCTGTGTTGACACACTGAGTCTCCCTGACCTTTAGCTGCCAGCACTCTTTGTCACAATGGCGTCTGACAATTTCTAGAACTTTTTGAAGGTTTAACATTCACACCATGATGAGCCAGCTGTGTGGAGGTGAGAAAGTTCTCTCTCAGGCGTCCTTTTTTAATCCTTTCACAACTTTTTCTGTCACTTTCTATGAGAACAATCATGGTCAACAATGTCTTCCAGGTGAGTCTGTGCAATATTATCCCCAATTTGTTATTGACAAAGCGTCTCAGTCCCTTCAATCTTTTTAAAAAACCCTCCTGTGTAGGTGTTCGGCTAATGTATAAAATCGCTCTGATTTGAGCTGTGGTCTTTACTGTATATGAACTAAACAAGCATAAGCCCAATGGCACACGTGGCGTCATCATTTACATTTAATATTCATTAATTACAACTATCTGTCTACCTTTCTCCATTCCCCGATTATTTTTTTCCTCATGTCCTGTTACTCAATCTGACTTCTTTAGGTATCAATATATTTGGCAGGTAACTTTTCTAGTTCCCTTGTGTTTCAGTAAGGTCAGGAGCAAAACAGACAGGCACCTCAGCTCCAAAATTTAAACACGTACGCATACTCACGCACCCACATTTAAATAAACAGGCACACACACACAGTGGGAAGCGTAGGTGTCACAAGTTCAGATTGCTCCCCGCTGTTTGACACCTAACAGCGTGCGAGCATAATCCCGCACACACACTAATCCTTGTGTGTATGCGTGTGCATGCCTTGAGTGTGTGTTGATACATCTGACAATGGGACAAAGCTTTACCTTTCGTCTCTCTCTCTCCGGGTTGAAGGTTCCCAACCATGACTGCATCTGTGCATAAAAGACACAAAATGGGAAGAAAAGGTGAGGGCAGTTACTTTGGCCAACAACAACAAGCAGAATAGCAATATGATCATTTAAATATGTAGTTTTTTCCTAGAGAGTTTCCTGAGGTCTAGAGGCGAACAAATATGACATTGGCTATCACTCCAATGCTGAATCCCTCCACCTTATTACACATCCCTGCAAGAATTGCCTAATTCACAGCAGAGTGCAGAGCTTAGATGCAGAGGGGAGCACTTAGACAGCTCCCAGCATCTCACAAAAAGAGGGTACTGATCAGCTTCAGCGCACACAATGTGACATGAGGAAGAAGATGAAAAGGCAAAAGGGTGCGGAGAAAAGAGGGACCTTTTTTGAAGAAGTGTTAAAGAAAAAGGAAAAAGTGGAGCAAACATGGCAGATCTGAGATCTCCGGAGAGAACGTGGGAACACTTTTCGCTCTTCCTCTGTCTCCTCTCTCAGGGGAATGCAGGGAAAATGTCAACAGCCACGCAAAGGAAAATAGACACACACTCACACGCACGCACACACCCGTGCACAAGACTAGGACTGGTAATAGTGGGATAGGGGCGGGGGGGCCGTAGGAAACCAGAGGGTTTATGTAACCCAAGACTTCATAGAGAAATCTCTGGAGGCCCAGAGCTTCACACACAAAAAGAGGCAGCTTTGCGCTCCTCTGTTCTGCAATTTATTAACTCAATGTTGCCATGGTTTCACCGCACTGACGTGATTGTCATTGTAAATCTATGCGTGACCGTGGTGTGCTTGTGCAGTGCAAGGAAAAAAACAGCCATTTGGTCATTAAATCAGTTCCAGAGCACCACCTCCCATCCAAATGAACAACCACCGCTAAGAGGAATATAGTCAGGCTTCGGCCAGGTCTCCAGTGTGAGTACCTGCCTTTTTTTGCAATCTCTTTTAAGGATGTGCCACCTGAAGTTGAGCAATTCAGACAGAAAGTATTGATGCGTGAGGCTTAGGCAGGAAGGATGTACAAATCACATTCATAAAACAAACACAGCACCACACACTCAGACCTCTCTGTCGCGCCTGATAATGACTCATTAGTTTTCAAATCCTCTATTTAGTATGAGCTCACACTGTCCCTCAGAATGTGTCTGTGTTTCTCTAAATAATCCTGTTGTAAACAGCTTGGACTTGGTAAACTAATGAGGTACGGAGTAGTTTTCCTACCCCTATCCTCCCCCTCCTGTCTCTGGAAAGCGGAGAAACTTTCTCCGTCCAGCTCACATCCCGCCTCTCTTCACTCTGCCTCCTCGGCTTTATCCCTTTTCCCGATGCGGCGCCACCTACCCTGCTTCCAAAGCTTTTTTAACTCTTTCAAGCGAGACAGCCTGCAGCTGAAAAGAGATAAGGCTTGAGCTCTTCATAAATATGATAGAGAAAGCAAAACGGCAGACTGAAGAGGGGGAAGAGGCACGGGAGGAAAATTATTGGGAACGGGATACTGAGGGTGGATAGAGACAGAGACAGATGGAGCTGGAAAGGAAAAGAGAGAGGAAACAAGAAAGGTGGGAAACAGAGATACAGAGAGCCAGGAGGATGAGGGAGAGAAGGCTGAATACTGTGAGCTGAATGAGTTATGAGATGTAGGTGGCAACGCGGCTACATTCAATTCATCCTCTTTATCACATTCATGATAAAGAGCTGTGTTGTCTCTTTCCCCTTCCCCTCCCTTCAGCTACCTGAAGTCATGTGTCTGCAGCGCGGCTATCTTTTAATCTGTCACACCCACTCATCGCTGTCTCTCCAGCACAAATAAAGAATACTTACATGCACGATTTTAATTTATTGTGAGACTGTGGTGAGTTTTACCTGATTATCCATTACTTTTTTGGTATATCAAAAACCCACAGACATATTGTTGTTATACATATTATACATATTGTTGTAGCGCGAGTCAGCCAGCACCTTTCCGCTGGCAGTACGGCCACACTGTGTTGTCAGATGAGGGGAATGAAAGCTATGCAATATTTTAGGAATACTCCCTCTTGGCTTCTACTGTGCCCTTACAATTGGAAATAACACAGAGCTATGACGAGGAGAGGAGGTAAAGCAATAATTAAATTCATTATCGACACAAATGTACTTTTATGAGAAGTTGGAATAAGTGAAAGGTGGATATTTGGTTATAAAATGTAAGCCAGCTATCGAGTTTCAATTTGACTTTGATGCACCCCTTTGAGATGAATTAAATAGAGTACATTTGAGTAAATAAGGAGCAATAACTATGATTCAGAGTCTCAGCCAGGACTGTGTCCACCACCATTTTAACATGCAGAAGGTAGCTTGCATTGCAAACATTTGCAACAATGCTGACAGAGAATAAGCCAAAACAAAGAACAAAGAAGTTCATATTACAACGCACACAGAGGAAGAGGGATTTCATTGTCTAACCAGGTAGACATTACTCCACAATATATTTACATTGCATATACAGTGTAGATGTTTTCTAGTATAGTAATCTTCTGAGTGTGAAATAATAGAGCTTCCAAATGATTATTGACTGTCAGAGTTGCACTGTTTCTTCTTCCATGCATGGACAAATTGTCCACGAAAGCCCACTCCCAACCATAACATTATATATCAAACACAGAAAATGTTTTCAAGGGATTTTTCTTGACTCTTGTGAAAACACACAAACATCAAACCTGCCTGAGCAATCAGAAATGTCAGCTTGTACTAATGTCACATTTCTAAAAGGTCACAATGCACTTGGATTCAGTTAAACTGCCAGTGTTTTGGACGGCTACTGACTGCACGCATGTTGAGCACTCACCCTCGCATTGGCCACGCAGATTATCCTGGCGTAGCAGCAGATCATCAGGAAGATGAGGCTGAACAACGGCACGTACCATCTGCAAACGAACAAACACGAGCAGGTCGTAAAGAAACTACAAATGAGCAATGTTATACAGTGTTATTACAAGAACGTCTGATTTACTGTGGCTTTCTTATAGTCTTGGATCAGGAGGAGGAAGAGGAGGTTTTTGATAACTCTTTTAGAATAAAGAAAATGTCAAATGACGAAAAAAAACTGGATTTAATTTAATTTCTTAGCCACGAGTAGAGTGTCATATACCGTAATGGAATTTATACTGTGATAGGATGTAATAACATACTAGGTGTCCAATGTTTAAATATTAGGGCTGTCTAAACCGATTATAGACACAAAAAGATTTAATAAGATTTCCTCTGCGGCAATGCAATCTGAGAAGGGCGTTATTGTTAGATATGATTTGGACCTGGACCAAAGCAAATTCAGATGTGTATGCAAAACCCTTGTTACTCAGCTTTTATATTATCTTGTATCTTGATTTTAAACATGAATCATTCCTCATTTCATGCACTCATGCCACAAGCCTCCATTAAGGAATGTTTATATAACGGTTAGACTGTTCAGGTGGTGTAATCTTTGCACCATTTTCCTAAATAGCTGATTAATAGATGACACATAGTTTGTGCATAAACAGCAAAGAGTAGAACAGGCCTGACTCAGCACACGGATCGTGCTGCTCATAGTTTCAGTGAGCAGATGGAGAGGCATACAAAGAACAAAAGATAATGCCAGTCAAGTCACAACACCGGAAATGCGTGACATTCCTACGGGATGAAGGGTTGACAATCAAGGGAGGCGCGGCGGAGAATAACATGTCAGGTATTTCTAAGCGAATGAAAGCGAGCGAGACGAGCGAGGAAAACAGTGGAGATGGGTTTGTTGGAATGGCAGCCTTGTTATGCAACCTCTTGGGAGGTGATGTAAGCTCGGAGGAGTTTCAACCTCTCCCTGTTATCATGAAACGGGCCTTTGTCTCCCTTTGATAGACAGGTTCCTGGCCACCACGTCTCTGTTCAGCCTCGGTAACTCTGAACAGTCGGGACCAAAGACCTCCTGAGCACCTGGCACTGGCAGGGAGGCGCCGGCCAAATGCACCTACGTGATAATCATATTATATTGTGCAGAGGGAGGACATCAAGAGTTACCACAGGCTTGAACATGACCCAGAGGAAAACAACTGAAATTCAAAGCAGAGAGAGTGAGTCTGCGCCTGACCCATAAATACAGGCACACATGCTTTCAAAAGGAAAATGGATTGGGAATAAATGTCCAACACTCTGCTGAAAAGTCCTTGACACGTGTGCTATAAACGGCAACTTTAAGCAGGATAAAAAAAATGCAAATAGTGGGTCCTTGGCCTAATTTAACTTCGTCCACACTTGTTTTTCAAGCCTGGGGGCCCAAAAAGATCCTGTGTGGAATTAAACTTTTTATTGGCAGGGGATTCTGAGATGGTAGGCGTTTGTTTCACAGCAGGAAACACGGAGAGGGAAAAGGCTGCTTTACACATCGTGTTTCTTTATGTCTTGTAGGGAACATCTATATACAAAGAACACCCTCTTTGAACACGCGTGTATGTGCGCGTCCACGCAGGTTCAATAATGGCACGGGACAATGATGAAAGCATTTCAGGGGAGACCTGCGCGAGCGTCACCTCAGTGTGATTTAATAACCCAGCTCTCCGGAATAAACAGAGTCCAATTACGCCAGCGCACGTCCCGTTAATGATGGAGAGACGAGGTGGGTGGGGGGGGGTAGGGCGGGCTGGTGGAGAGGAGAAAGGAGGGGGTGGCCTTTTTAACGATAGCGTGGGGGGGCTGCGAGGAAGAGAGAATGACGGGCGGCAGCTACAAAGTGCTCTAATTAGCATGATAATGATCTGCCATTAGAGTCCGCTGTGCTCTACAGCTGAGCACTACCCAGAGAGAGAGAGAGCGAGAGGGAGAGCGGAGGGGAGAGAAGACTCTGAGTGGGCAGGGGAGGATAAAAGTGAAGACAAGAATAGAGGTGAGGATGGAAAAGGTGGATGTATGACAGCAGATTGTGGGTCAGGACCAGGAAGAACAAAAATAAGAAAGAAGCATCGGGTGATTAAAAGACGGGGAGAGGGATAAATTCGCAGTGAGAATAAAAAGGAAAAGCAGGCTGCAGCCAGGAGAACGACTATAGGGAAAGACGGAAAGAGGGATTTCAAGAGTGAGCAAGGATGGAAGCCTGAAACTGGCAGGAAGAAAGATCGTCACAAACAGATTCAATTTATCTGCCTCGGCCTGGCCCTCCCTCCAGCAGCACTCTGAAGTAAAGAATGCGGCCTGGATGAAAGCAGCTTTAATTTAAGTGCTGGTAGGAGAAGAGAGGACTATAGGGACCCGACTGTGCGGGTTAGTGCTCGACTTTGACAAACAAGATCCTACTGCTGAGAGAAAGATCACGATCTACCTGTTCAACCACTCAGGGAGGACACAAGCCGAGGGAGAGAGAGGGAGTAGGAGGCACAAAGGCCAGGAAGAGCAGGTATAGGGCGTCACCACATGCACTAATGCAAAAGTTAAAAGGAAAATAGATTATAGCCATGCTAGTGACTCTGAGGGTGTAGTCTGGAGTTAAATGTTAGTTTCAAAAGGCTCACAATTGCAGTTTTACAGAGTTTACTAATTGCTTTGGTATGCAGTCCAAAAACAGGATACAAGGCAGTATAAACAGCGCAGCAGAAAGCTAAACAGTAAAGGCAAGACAAAAAAGGTTGTTTATCAGGTATAATGTTTCATCTGAGTAGTGTTTTTGCATGCTTTTATTAGCTTTTGAGCACTTAACGCTAAGTACAGCTGCGACTGACAAACATATCAATTGTTTTGTCGATATTTTGTCATAAATATAGAAAAAGTTAATAATTTAACCTGGTGATTGCACTGATTGAAAAGGTCAAGGATCACCGAAGTTATTACAATCTATTCTGAGAGGAATATAAATGTGTGATCCAAATTTCATGTCAATCCATCTATTCCTGTCACCTCTCTACTTTGAATTATCTAGTAAAAAGCTTGAAATTCCCCAAAACATTGTCTTTTTTGAAGATATAGCCAATGGTAACGATGAATCTAATCTAAAAGTACAAAAAGTAGTGTCAGTCTATTTTGTAGATTTTATAATGTTTCATTCATCATTCATCCTCTAGGCAAAATGAATATATGTAATACATGTCATGACAATCCACCCAATTCATGTTGATATATTTCAATCAGGACCATTAGGCGCTTTCACACTTTTCCCAGGAACTAGGCCGATAGTTCTTGGGGTTTTGGTTTCACACCAAAAATATCTGGAACTAGAACCTAGTTTGCACGAACCTTTTCACCCCCAGATAGTCCCTGCTAGAGAGTCAAGCCCCCAGGAAGTGCGCCGGACTCTGAAGAAAATATTAGTTGTGGCCAAACGGCGGTACTACACTTCCGTATCAGTCGCTGGGCCCGGAAAGACTTTTTCCCATTGACTAACATGGGGAAAGAGACGTCTCTAAATCGTTGGAATTTTTTTTTTAAACTACCCAGTATTAACATTTGTATAGCCTTTATTAAAAACATTCGGTCCTCAAGTTGTAAAATGTGCTAATAACGTTATTCTGAGAGTTATTTTCCTCTGCATTATGAACCGCGCCGCCCGGCACGTTCATGTGACGTGTTCAGTACTACATGAGTTTTACCTTTACCCATGGATGCACAATAAGAACGGATTATATGAATACCTTCGTGACGTTTTGCTTTCTCAAAAGTTGGGCCATTTTCACCAATGAGCAACTCTCATAGGAATTAACGAGGCCCCGCCTCCCACGCTGTATCCAGTTCTTATTATACATCCATTGACGCTTTCACACCGGAGTACTTTTCTCAGGAATAGTTCCGATAGTTCCTGGGATTTTGCATTCACACCAAAAAGATCTGGAACTAGAACTTTTTTTTGCGAACCTTTTCACCCCTTTTTAGTCCCTGCTAGAGAGCAGGGACTTTCCTGGAGAGAAAAAGGTTCCAATTTCTGATTGGCTGGGCGAATTGCAAACCACGGCCCGTAAAACTCAGAAAAGTTTTTGTGAAGCCGCCATTTTATTTGCTTGCATTAGCATAATTAGCATTAGCCCAGCACACCAACGGAGAGAGACTAACTTATGGCACCACAAAATAAAAGATGGGAGCGGTGATGAGGAGATGTTGGCGCTTCTGGCGATTTACTCGGAAGACGCTACCCATCAGCTTCTACTGAAGCCAGTCCCCAACTTCGGGTGGAAGTATATGCCGTGAAGTTGTTTGCGGCCTGCCAGTAAACCCAAAGCAGAAGAAGAAGTGACGTCAGCGGCTTCATTTGCCTAATCCTCCCTCAGGGACTTATTCCGGTGTGAACGCGATCTACAAGGACAGTTCCCAAGGGCGGCTAATGTGGTGAGCGTTATTTGGTCAGTTTTCCGTTGCTGTGTCTGACTGCGGCCCATAATACACACCGATGGAGACCTCTGAGAGCAGTGACTCAGCTACGCTCGAGTGCTTCCAATTGCTGACTCAACCCCTGAAATTCTGCACCTCCGTCACTAAAACGCTGTCCTCTGCTTTTCATTCTCCTTCCTCTTTCATCCCCTCTAACAGCGTCCTCCTCCTCCGAGTCCTGTCTGCGCTGCTTCGCTGAACTCTGATGAAGACACACTACGGGGCGTGGGCAGAGACGAGGGCAATCTATTTCTCTCACTCTCACTCTCCTTCCCGTGCTGCCATGCCGCCCCTCTTCCCTTCCCCTGCTGAGTAATACCCTGTGTCTCTAACTGTACCCCGTATGTCTCCCCTCCCACCCTTTCCACTTTTCACCTTTAATACTCAAACCTCTCCTGTGCCTACCCGGCGAGCTGTCAGCAGGGTGTGTGTGTGTGAGTGAAAGTGTTTTTCCTTGACGGGCTCTGCCTTGGCCTCTAATCTCTCATCTGGTTTGATGTAATTAGAGCTAATGAAGATTCCCTGATCCTCTGAGCGACTCGTCCCCCCGGGCCACGACAGCGTGGAAAACTAGAAAGAGCCGGGAAGCAGAGGAGCGCTGATAAAAGAGACACAGGCTCGTTTAGCGCAGCTGATAGCTATGTGTTGTTCGGCATGTGTGTGTGTGTGTTTGTCTGTGCAAGTCTGTCTGTGTGTGTGCATGCTTATTTGTTTAGAAAGATTGATTCCCTGCTGATGCTGCGAGCAGCAGCGCGATTACCTTGGCTCATAGCGAAGTGTTGTTGTGTGCGTGTGCGTGTATGTGGCTAAGCGTCTGTGCTGGGGGATTGGCAGAGTCTTTGCAGACTTAGGGCCAGTTGCAGAAAGCAGTAGACAGGCATAATCCTTCATAGCCGTCCTAAACACTTAAATACACAGTGTAGCAACTCCCCTAAATCTGACAAGGCAGAGGCAGGCACATCCACATGTGTGTACACACACACACACACACACACACACACACACACACACACACACACACACACACACACACACACACACACACACACACACACACACACACACACACACACACACACACACACACACACACACACACACACACACACACACACACACACACACCACACACACACACACACACACACACACACACACACACACACACACACACACACACACACACACACACACACACACACACACACACACACACACACACACACACACACACACACACACACACACACACACACACACACACACCACACACACACACACACACACACACACACACACCACACACCCACCACCTTGGCCTTACACCAAGTGGGAAAAAACCCTGCAGGCTCCCCTGACATGCAACCCTTCACATTTCCCCGCAGAGACAGCCCTCCCACCGCCCCCTCCTCCCCCAGTGGGGGAAGCTTTGATGCCGGCGCTGAAAGGGTCTACTTACATCCCAAATCTCCAGGCTACGTGATCGTCTGTGATCCAGCTGGGGGAAGAGAGAGAGAGAGAGAGAGAGAGATAGGAGAGGAGAAGGAGAGGAGGGAAGAGGAGAGAGAGGAGAGAGTGAGAGGGAGAGAGAGAGAGAGAGAGAGAGAGAGAGAGAGAGAGAGAGAGAGAGAGAGAGAGAGAGAGAGAGAGTGGTGAGGGGGTTACAAAGAAAAGGGAGAGCGTGAGCGGAAGACAGACTTGTGTGACTGCGGAGGGGGAAAGCTGTGCAGCTGTAGCTATTAATAAGCCGTGAGTGGAAAGAGAGAGCCGAGCCCGGAGATTAAGACTGTCCCAATTCTCATTCCGCTGGCCCGGCCTCTTCCCCTATCCCTCACCCCTTTGACTTCCCTCTAAACAAATGAGGCCTTTCCTATTCACAAAAAGAAGCTGAAGAGTCTGAGGGAGTGTTTTACGGTTCAAAGATATTCTGATAATTGCCAATTTTGATCACATAAAATCTTATGAGAGAAGAAGCCTGTCTGGAGCTGGACTGAGGCCAGTAATGTGGCCCTCTTTGAAAGGAAATATATTTAACAGCAAATCTGCTGTGGCAGGCTGAAGAAACGTAAAAACTAAGCTGCAGCTGGACGCTGGGCTGTACTCACCACCAGGCTCCCGCGGGGCCGTAGTATCCCTTCAGCAGCGGCAAAGAGGCCATGACTAGAGGCACCCCCCACGCCATCAGATGGTACAACCTGATAAAAGACAGACATTTATTTCGTTATAGGCGCAGAGAACAGGGAGCTTCGCAGAGACAAAAAAAAAAAAGACTAAATCAATTATTTTCTTCAGTTCATCCCTTTGTTGCCACCGACATCAGGGTCATTTTTCAGGTGCAGACAAATGCCTATACAGCCAGTGCCAATTACTCACGGTAATTTAAACCATAATTACTCTCAGTGTTGCGGAAAAGATGATTTGCAGAGATGTCTGCATAAAAACCACAAGCAGGATGTGGAGTCTCACTCAGAGGGGCTAGTGACGAAAATATATGTAGTCAAAGCTGGATAGACTTCATCGTATAAAGAAAATGGTTAATAAGAGAGAGGCTCTGACTGGATATCAATTAAAAAACGATAGGATCTCTAAGAAGTTTTAAAAATCTCAATCACTGAACTCACACTGTGTGTGTCAGTGTCCGACAGATGAGGTGTGCGCGCCAGTGTCTTGGGCGTAGGTGTGGGCGTCGATAGTTTATAGAGCGTATAGCGTCGCCCGGTCAATAGAGGGAAGTCCTCGATGACTTGTTCCAAGTGTGGTCAATCGAGCGGTGGCGACACGGCTGACACACACTCAATCCCTCTCGGCTTGTGCGGCACAGACACACACACTCTCATTCTGATTACACTGGCTGACACTGTATCCCCCCTCTCTGCCCTCAGCTGATAGACAGCAGTGTGAGAGTGTGTGGGAGGTGGTGGAGAAAGGGAGACGTCTGGAGGTTTAAAAAGGGTAAAATAGTGGGTGGAAAAGAGACATATGAAATGTAAAGATCCAAAGAGAGAGGGAGAGAGTTTGGATCCTACACAAGAGGGGGTGTGAGAGAAAAGAAAACAAGGAAGCACGAAAAAAAGGGAAATGGTGGGAGCGCTAAAAGCGAAAGAGACACAGACAAAGAGAGAGAAAGTGTGTGTGGTGGTGGGAGGAGGGATATAAATGGTAAAATCAGTCCTGCCAGTCGGTGGTGTGATGATTGGTGCAAGGGGGGGGGCTTGTCAGGAAATCAATGTCGAGAGCCGGCAGCCCCGCAGACACACACTCGCACTGCAGCTCACACACCACACATTCGCAGCGCTTTGAGAGGGAGATGACGAGGTCCGGAGCTGCGCTCAACATGGGCTTAATGAGGCACAGCAGGGCCGCTCTGTGCTCTGCTCTTCTCACACACACACACACACACACACACACACACACACACACACACACACACACACACACACACACACACACACACACACACACACACACACACACACACACACACACACACACACACACACACACACACACACACACACACACACACACACACACACACACACACACACACACACACACACACACACACACACACACACACACACACACACACACACACACACACACACACACACACACACACACACACACACACACACACACACACACACACACACACACACACACACACACACACACACACACACACACACACACACACACCTCTCAGGGCTCAATCTCATTCCTCACAGCCTCAAACCACTTCTTCTTCTTTGCCTGAATCTGTCCTTCAAACACACATAAACACACTACCCATCCTCTCTTGCATCCACTTTAATCACGCTTAGATCATCAAGCCTCCATTCCCCATCTCCTCTAGCCATTTCTTCATTCATAAACCATCACACTGCGCCATCAGTCAGTCAGTCAGTCAGTCAGTCAGTCAGTCAGTCAGTCAGTCAGTCAGTCAGTCAGTCAGTCAGTCAGTCAGTCAGTCAGTCAGTCAGTCAGTCAGTCAGTCAGTGTGTGTGTGTGAGAGATAGAAAGGGTGGGAGGTTGCGGTAGGGGGGGGGGGCTGAGGGGTAATTTTGCATGCATGCAAAGCCACATCCTGCCGAAACACACACAGCTTATCAATGTGCAGTCAATACACGACAACCCTCCAGACACCCCGTCCTCACTTCGTTCTGATCTATTAAACGCAGAGGTTGTTTTTTTTTTCGTTGTGTGTCCACCCCAATGCAAAAATAGAGACACATCCTCCTCACACCTTGTCCCTCTGGACCCGAGAGAGGTATGCAGCTGACGAGGCTCTGAAGCGAGACCATTTTGGCCCCCCTAGCTGGCCCCTTTCCCTGCATCCATAAAACCGTCTACTTCTGAGTTATAACACCATTATATCGTCTGGCTTATTGCTAATCAATGCAGGGGAAAGTCCCATGGGAAGGGGGGGGAACGTATTTTTACCAGCCCAACTCCTCACACACAGATGGGTAGGAAGGGTGTACGCGCACACACATCTACAATCGACTCCCAGAAGTGAGTTGCTGCTAACTTGCTAAAGCTTTACCCCCCCCCCCCCCCACAGAGCGCATACATTTTTATTTTTCAGAATGTGTCACAAGATCCTCGCTAGGCATGGAAAATGAGAAAATATCACACACACACACACACACACACACACACAAGCATATTCACACTTGCGCTGCGGAGAGCGCTCATGGGAGTTTGAGCGACAGAAACATAGAGCCACAAAGCGTGAAGATGGGTGCACACACACTCACAAACACACTCACACACTTAACGGCTGACACTCACTCCCTTTTCAATTAGAGCGTCGGCTGGAACAGAAAAGAAGAGGACAGAGGGAGGGAGGGAGGTAGGGAGGGGGCTGTCAATGCTCTGTGGGGAGACACATGCTCTGGCAGACCAAACACATGCACATTAACACACATACAGGCAGTGGGAAATGGCCACAGCAAAACAAGAGGGGAATATTAAATTTAAAGGAAGACACAGTGGTGGACATGGAAACAGAAATTGTATACACGACGGACAAAGACGTTAAATTATTTGTTGAATGATCAATTAGCCGATATAAAAATAAAAATAAATCAGAAACTATTTTGGGAAGTAATAAGCCCATCATTCTGGTTCGAGCTCTTTTTTTCTCAGGTATTGAATATAGTAGATCAAATATATTTGTTTTTCTATATTTTTCAGTTTTTCTATTTAAGGAGAAAACATGTTGTGACCAAAAGTATATAACAAATTTGAGTAGTGACTTTAATCTCAGAATTCTGAGGAAAAAGTCAGATCTCTGAGATTAAAGTCAGAATTCTGAGAATTAAAAAAAAATGAATATCTATTCAGTAAAGGAATAATTCTAATAAAAATGGTCATTGTTCAGAATTCTGAGATTAAAGTAAGAACTATTCTTCTACTTTTTGTCACATACTAAAATGGACTTCTTCCAAAGATGTTGGACTCTGAAAAAGACAGAAAATTGAAAGAAAAAAAACAAGAAAAAAAACAATCCACAAAGCAATAAAGGAAACAATTGTCCCCGACTCACTTCTCATATCTGTTGGTACTGATTTCTTGGACCAGGTTGAGGTACAGGTTCACTGTGATGAGGCAAACCCAGGCCAAGGCACTCCAGTCTGCAGGGACACAGACACACACACACACAGGGAAAAACAACAAGGTCAAATTACAACATAGCTCCCCTCGTCACACAGCATGCACCTGCAAGTGTGCGTGTCCAAACACACTTGTATGTATGAGCGCGTGTGTGTGTGGGTGCATGTGGGTCCACTTTTTGATAAATGAAGGCCCATTTTGCAGTAATATGAGGGAAACCTGTGGCTAAGGGTGATGGATGAGAGGGGGAAGAGATAATGATGAACTGTGGAAAAGCAGAGGGAGATAAGCAGGGGTTGGGGGTGAGAGAGGAAGAAATGAGAAGGAGAGCGAGGAGCGAGGTGAGGAGGGGGTGAGTCGAACTGAGTGGACTAGAGCTAGTGTAGTGAAACTGAAAAGGAAAATAAATAAGGAAAGGGAAAGGAGTCAGCAAAGTGGAAAGAAATGAATTTATTTTACAGAGACAAGGAAGAGAGTAGGAAGCTCACTTCAGTATTTTGCCCTTGTTTTCAGCCCTTTTCTGTGTGCGTGTGTGTGTGTGTGTGTGCTGTGTGTTTCTGTTGACAGGACAGGCAGGGCTGGTCGTCACAATGATGAATTCTCTCAGCCGCATACTCAGCTTACTCAGTTTCGCACAACAAACCCCCACACAAATACACAAAATTCTCTCTCTCTAGTCTGTACACTCAAGCACTGTTTAGGAATAGTGCGCAGTGACTAAGAAAGAAGGAGGCTGGCCGTCCATGTCATTGTCGAAATAAATCACAGTCACAGCGTGTCTTACATAACCTGACAACAGCCGGAGCGTTTTGCTTTAAAACTCGACAACGTACAGCTCCGATCCACCACCTGCCCCGGCTACCGTCTTCCTCCATTTCAAACACATTTCATAACCTTTTATTAGTCCGAGTTAAAAGCAAAGCTGCGCTATGCGGCTCCCACTAGACTCGGGGCTTTCGCAACAGAACAAAGTGCCCGCTCAGCCGGTGTTTATGTGTGGCCGTTTGTCCTAAGCGTGAGGATCCTCGTGATAAAGCGAGGTGACAGGCAGCAACCCTGCAGCACTAACTCACTGCCCATTACCCTGTATCTGTCTGAGTGTGTGTGAGGGTGATGTGTGTCTGCCTGTGAGACCAATAAAACAGGCCTGGAGGAGAGTTGCATTAGCAGCCAGTCCTAACTGACAACCCTTATGCTAATTGGGGCTAAAGGAACTGTAATTGCAACAAATGCATCCAAGATGTTCAAGGTAAACACAATCCTGCCCTCATAAGTCCAAGAAATCCTACCAATATCAACCAAATTGAGAAGTTGCAGATGTGTCTGACAAACCCAAATGATGTGCTCATTGGAGTAAAATCAATGATGAAACACTAAGGCGTCTGGTTTGAGGGCGTGTACTGAATAGCTGCAATTGACTCCCACATGTTACACCATCGTTACGGGTGTGGTATTCTTGGCATGGGTGTGTGAATACTCCTCCACCCTTGACAACTGGTGTATCTCAAAATGGCATGTAAACATTCTCCATCTCTTTCCTGAGAACATAGGAACAGCATGCACAATTTGAGTTGCCAAATTGTTGTCAAACAGGACAAGAGGAGAGGCTGTTTCAGATATAGGGCAGCAATAACCATTTGTTTACATTATTGATTAATCTGCAGGGTTTTTTCTACATTAGTCGTTGGGTCAATAAAGTTTCAGAGAATTGAGTAAAATGTCTTTCCCATTTTTCTCGAAGTCCAAGGTGATCTATATATATCTTGTTTTTTCAGCCAAAGATATACAGTTTTATATGATATAAAAAGGAGACAAGCTGGAAATTGCCATACTTCAGAGTCGGAAACACATTCATTAAAAATGAATTAAATAATTAATCAATTATTAAAATAGTCGGGATTATTTTTCTCTCGACCGACTGACAACTAATCGTTGCTGCTCTAATAAAATGTCAATTAAAAATATAACCATTCAATGAGAAGTAATTACCATAAACTCAATGTAAGACACATTAGATACAATAATGGAAAAGGCATAAAGAAGAAGCACTGAAGTCTGGTTATTTGGAGACACCAATATGCTTTTTTTGTTTTGTTTTTTATATACAAGGCAAGGCTTTAGTACTCTCTTTGACTGATAGTAGTGACTTTACAATTACTTATTTAAAACGTTTATCGCTTTCAAAAGCTCACTTTCTAGCCTGTATATCCTTGTGAGACTGACCGTTGATCGGCCCGACCAAGCAAGGAGGCAGAGAGTTCAAATATAACCCAGTGTGGACATTTATTACTCCTTGTGGCACATGACACAGCCTCAATCTTACTGTCTCATGTGAACACAGTCACCAGCAACAAGGATCTCCCACACAAACAGGAAACACAGAGCCTAAATACCCACAGACTAATCAACCAACAAGACACAGGTGAGGGGGGAGGAGACAACACAGGGCACCAGGTGAACACAATCAACAAAGAAGCTATACAACCCGTAACGGAGGCCGAGATCTATGGCCCCAGAGATCACCTCCGTGACAATCCTCCAGTAATAACTCCCTGCGTTGCATTTCAAATAAGCTCTGGGTGAAAGATACAGCTATAAGCCGGAGCATCAGTGTCAAAGCACATTTTGTTCTCAAGCTAAAAAAAAGAAAGAGGAAATGACAAAGTAATATTATTTCACACTGTGATTTACGAGCTCTTCAATAGATGTCTTTGTTGAATTTTTTTCTGGCATACTCAACCTCTATTGTTAAAAGTGTGCCTGCGACTAAATAATGAAGTTTCGTCTTACCAAAGTAAGTTAGCCAGCAGGCCTGGAAGTCACAAAGCGATCCCTCTGGATGTGAATCACCCTAGGTAAGAAGGAAGAACAGCATAGAGACATATTTTCAGCTAAAAGAAAACTCTGTTTTGTGGGTGTTTACTGAAGCAAGCTCGCGTAACTCACCATGACATATGCTACGCTATTGAAGAAGGCAGCTACAGTCAGGCTGAGGATCATCTTCTGTACAGGGAAAATGAGAGGAAGACTTGAAGCGGGATTCTCTAACAAAACATCCCAACTTAATATGGCAGCACATTTACATTCACGTAGAGAGAAATTATACATCAAATGAGCACTGATGCGTCTGACAGCTTGGCGTCTCTGGCGACAACGCTGCGAAAATATTACAGGATGGAGGAAAAAGATTGCTTAACTTCTTCTATATAAACTAAAGTATTTGATTTGATATCATCCGATAATCTGTGCCCTACAATAGTTTAAGAAGATAGCTCTTTTAAGAGGTGGTTAGAAAAATGGCAACACATACATACACCCAGTCCTAGTTTGTGTCCAGCAATGACTCTGCCAATAAGATAAGATAAGATAAGAAGTACTTTATTGATCCCAATTTGGGAAATGTTTGCGTTGTACAAATAGAAATAAACATTGGAATAAACATTCCAAAATGTAAACATCTCAATAGAAATAAAATAGCATTAAAAAGTTGAAAATATACATGTTGAATTACAAATGTACAGTAACAAAATATAAAGCAGGATATTATATATACATAAGTATGTGAGGAATGGAATATGAAATAATAGATTGAATATAAATGTAAAAAGTACAGTGTGATTTTAAGTCCAATGCTACAGAGGAAGAGGAGCGAGAGACAGAAAAAGCCCTAAAGAAAGAGCATTAAAGTTTATGACTGACAGGTAACCTTTGTGAGGGGATGGAGGTGAGGACAGTGCGTGTTGTTAGAGGAGCTGGAAGAGGTGACTGAGCGACCTAGTGCGGAGGTATCAGCTAAACTGTCATTTACTTCAGATTAGGAGGATAACGTGAAGTGCTGCAAAACCTGAGAGACCAGCCGGACTGCCTTTAAAAACACCAAGCAGGCTGCAAACTCAAACACTGATCTGCTTTAGACTTTTGAATTGTGGATACAAGAAAACATGGAGGGAAAAGCACATCTACACTCATATTATTCAGTCTGTTGTGTGACCTAAAGGGGAAAGAAAGCCGTCATTATCACAGAACAACCATGAGTCAATTAACTGCATAATTAATTAATCTGTGCATTTTAATTGGGTTCAATTATGCCAAGATTTGCCATGGCTAATTGAACATATTTCCGGTGGCAATGAAGCAAATAGAAAATGAGGGGAAAAGAGAGTCAAAGCATACTCTAGTGTAGTGGAAATGTACCTGAGCCAAAGAGTGATATCTGCGAAGTAGCCAGATCACAAGGAGCATGAAAATACTGTGGAGATAAGAAAGTAGAGAGATTATTGCTAACTGAAAGCAAACGGGGCAAATCATTTGGTGTTGTAATAATGATATACCAGCTTACTGCACTCATATAGGCCCACATCATACAAACTTAAACTCTAAATCCCTGCAGGTTCTGTAGCAAACGTTAATCTGGTGATTTTATTTAGCTTAGTGTACGATTACTGGCCATTAAAGACATTTTAGACTGAAACTAATGAGAGCTGCTGAAAACCTGCCAGAGACCTGCTCAGCAGCATTTGAAGGAATGATTTCCCCGGCCAAAAAGCTAGATGCTGAAGCCAAAATGTTAAGATGCAGTTCATCAAAATGCCACTAAAAGCCACCTGCAAAATACAACTGTCTATTGAAATAAATGGGAAATAACTCTATGACTTCTGTGAAATTATAAATGTCCTTTTGACCATAGGAGAAACGTGTCCCAATATAGTAATTTCCCTTGTTTGTTTCTAAAAAGTATTCGATATAAGTCATTTGTAATTCCATAGTGCCCTGGGATTTGGAAAAGTTTAAATAGAAATCTTTCAGTCTCATTTAAAAAACTATATTTTACAAGCAAATATTGCATGCAGTTATGCACACCACTTTACAATAGACTTTAATAACTTTTACTTCCTTGGCCATACATGTTTGACAGAGTACAACAACACTGCAAATTACACAGAGTGAATCAAAACAACTTAGACAAAGCCTCAAGCTTTGCAAAGATGAGATTTATTACAGGGTGACAGAAGTGGTTACTGTTTGCACAAGTAAAACAAAAACCCTGCAGTTTATTTTTTGTAAACACACAAAGTAATGTTCACAATTAGTGTGTCTGACAAAGTGTTTACCCTGCACGAATAAAACCTTTGCAAAGCTAGTTTGACATCATTTAAATCCACAGGAACGTATTAAAAAAACCCTGCCAACATATCAGATATAAAAAAATATACATGAAAAGGTAAACTATCTGGTGCAAAATCAAAGTGAAGTCTTTTTTGAGGAATAAATACATTGAAGAAATATTTACCATCCTACTAAGGAGAAGGTTCCTGTGGCTCGTTTCACTGTTAAAATCACCACCTGTAAATGACAAACAATTAATTATAGCTCAACTTCATTAATAAGAAAGAATCAGTCTATATTTAATCGTAATATTTTCTCTGTGTAATATTTTTCAAAGCATTGTACAAACTTCCTGAGGAGTGAAAGATAAACACAGCGCCGCCATGATTATAATCATAGGCTCAGAAATTACTGGGTTGACAAGACTGCTATTTGTTCAAGCATGTCTGTTGTGTTTGTTTGCAAGCATGTGTGTAATTAAAGTAAGTACAAAATGGAGTTTGCATCTACTTCAGGCAACAGTTGTAACAGAATTGTGAATATTTGCTCAGACATGTAAAGGTGTTTACGACCTCCACAAGCATGACGCTTTCGGAAGCCTTTGAGTGCTGTTAAATGACAGCTGAGAGAAATGACAGCTAGAACCTGATACTCTACATAGTTTGTGCAAAACAACATCCAAGCTGAAACTGATCTGAGAGCAACAAGAGAGGGAAGAGGAAGAAGAGCGGAGGAATGAAAAGAATGAGAAATGTGTGAGTCAGTTCAAGAAGCTTCAGGGAAAATGAAAGGGACCCGTTGTAGTTTTACAGTAAGACATGTCAACACTGAGCTGTGCAACACTTCTGCTGTGGCCCTCAGCACACAATGTCCTACACGTGTCCTCTGAGCAGCGACAACAGACCACTAACTTCCATCAGTCTAAAACCTGCAATGTAAACAAAACAGAGATATCTATACAAATGACATGACAGATTTATGTCATTCATAGAAGTGACTGTCAAGTTGTATTTAAACTTTTCTTTGCAGTAGATTTCTGATTACACTAGTATAGGAGGATTTGTTTTCTGATGCTTTCTACAGTGTTATTACTGTTTTAATTATATTTAAATGATGGCCCTCAAAACTCACCTTTTCACTCTTGCCTTCAACTCCTAATCAACTAACCCCTTGCCCTTATTCCTCCTAGCTTAGCACTTTCTACTTTTGTTGTTATTTTGTTTTACTTGCTTGTAAGCGCTTTGAGCACCAGGACAAGCGCTTTATAAATGTAATGTATTATTATTAATGATGATAGAGTGATACAAAGCCTACAACAATTAACTAAGTTACACATTATTTTGTAGAAAATGAAATGAAAGATCTTGCTTTATGTAAACTTGTGGAATTTCCTTCTGATAATAGTCGCGCAAGCATCCGTGTCATTGGTTGTTGCTCTTGGATTTCATTAGACAATTATCAATATATTGCAAAATATTTTTTTCATAGGCTGTGTATTAATCAGCTATCTGGTTTAGGCTAAGTAGTAGAACTAACAGTCATTTTAAACACAACAGCTAAACAAACTACGTGCTACTGCTATCACAGAATCCATTGAGACACACTCAATCATTGACATTGAGCCCACTTCAAAGTCGCAAGATAAAATCCCAGAACAAAAGTATATATTATTCATCTTGGACAGTCTATATTTATGAAAATAACATACTTGCTTCTCGGAGCAAAACAAAAGTGAATCATTACCTACATCTGTGACATGCTGTTGTTCAACTGACAAAGAAAAAGGGATGCTACAGAGAACAAAACAACTCGACTGCATGAATACTGATGAAATTATGAGGAATGTATGGATAGTTTTCGTTTTGAACAGTGACACGAAACTCAAACTGGTACAGCCAGCTTGGTCAATGTGGGTTATCTGCATCTGGGTTATTCAGACAGCTTAAGGGACCCTATGATCAATGTCTTGCAATTACAAGATACTGCTTGACGGGAAAATAGATAACTGGGCTAAAGGCAGGACAGCATTATTGCAGCATTCTTAGTTAAGTGTGGATCACAACCTGGAGCTTTAAGCTGCTTACATGCAAAGTTACACCTACACCTTTTCACAAGCTCACTACACGCAATAGTACTTCAGTCTGGATTCAGCCGGTTATCTCCAGACAAAGTTATTCTGAATACAAGAACTACTGACTGGTTTATTATCATCTACATACATCTGCAGGTTTTGGACTCAATACCACAACCACCACGTGTATGCAATATCATTTGAATCTATGTTTGTGAAGGTTGTGATGCAGTTTTTGTGCTTGAGACTTTACTTTGAGGTATTATTAAGTCTATGGTACGTGATCTTGATTTGGATTACACTATGTTGATTAAGCATGTATGCAGCATATTAATAGGCCTATTTCTTATTTTCAACTTGCATACAATTCAAATCACTAACCTAAATGTAGCTGAGCTAAATTATACAGTTCTATTTAAGTGAGGTTTATACTTCACATTATCAATACAAATCTGCAAACTACCTACAGATATTAAATAAATGTACTGGAGTAAAAGTACACAATTTACCTCTGAAATGTAGTGGGGTGGAAGTATACAAAGTAGCAAAACATTGAAATACTGAATACAAGTCCCTCAAAAGTGTACTTATGTACAGTACTTGAGTAAATGTACTTAGTTACCTTACAACAACACTGTACACATGTATTGGAGTGAAGGTATAAAATAGCGTAGAAATATTCCCTTCAGAGTTGTTATTCAGGAAATAAATTCGTAGGCACTCTGTCTCTGATGTTGTTGTTAGTGTTGCTACTTTTATCACATTCAGCTGGCAAAACAGGTTCACATGTTATCATTACAAGATAAGACGATGCTTATCATTTTTTTCTAAAAATAACAAACATACTCTTTCCGCCTGCATGTCTCATTTCTAGAACAATGTGGGTAAACAAGCTTTCATAACGTATGAGAAACATCATCTTAAAATACATAAAGCTGGTAATGCTCAGCTAGGTTAGCTTAAGGTAGCTTGTTAGCTTGTCAGACACAACTGAGTTATATTAGCTCTTCAGTAGCAAGTGGGGATTAGCTCGTTTAAATTAGATGCACTTTAATGGTAATAATCAACCAGTTAATGAAGTTAGCTAGCATGCTAGATGACTGAAAGCTTAGTTACACGGTTACTGTTGAACACTAGGAACCATGCAGGTGTCAGGCATCCATGCATCAATGTATTAATCGATTAATAAATAAATACATCAGTTGGAGTTAATAATTACTAACCCATAGTGAGTTAAAAGTAACCGTTATGTTGCTAACGAGATAATTAGCAACAAAAAAGGCGAACATTGATTTACAGTTACGTTAGCTACTTACGCATCGATAGTCTTCTGAATCTGTATTAAAAAACACGCAGCGTGAATCGTTACTCGTAGACTTTGAGTTTTGACTGTCCATTTTTAGTCACAATGGTTTATTTTTTATTAATTCGCTTCAATTTGTTGATGTTTTGCTGTCGCCTTTTCTTGCACTTCCTGTTTCTACGGTGCGCGCAAAGGGACAAAAAGGGAAGAGCCAGCGTTTTATCTACTCGTCAGAGGGACAATCGAGAGTTTGACTTTAACATTAAAACTCTGCCTTTATTCGTTGTACTTCTTAATTCATTTTGTTTATCTTCACGTTATCAGAAATAACCAACCCTTTAGGTTTGGAGAAATCCCCTCCCATGTTTGTAGGGTTTTTTAGGTGGTTTCAACACATCAGTCAGCAGTGAAACTAAATACGTCATGTCACTACTTTTACTTTTACTTAACAACATTACTAACAAGGATATGTACTTTTTTCAAGTCAGACACATGGGACGGTTATTATTTGCATTTTTTTAAAATACAAAACACAAGTAGAGCCTATACAATATGATGCATCATTAAACTACCCAACAGTAATAAGGTGCTCAAACTTAAAAGCTTCACACCTTTAACAGTAAATGCTTTTCATAGGTCATTGCACCCGTAATACTTTTGACTTACTTAATAGTACTTTCCTGCTTCAATGCTTAATACTACCCTTATTTATTGCTTATCATTTCCTATATTTACCTACTTGTACTTAAGTATATTCTATGCATGCATGATCTTAACTTGTCATACTTTTCTACTTTTTAAGTAAATATAGTTTTTTCCCCCCACTGATATCAGCAAACTTTCCTGTCAAACCCTGCTGTTTGTGCACTGCTAATATCCCTTTGTGTTTACAAATTAATTTGGATCTCATTATCAGAAACAAAAGGCCCCAGGAAGAAGTTTTGTGTCGTCCTGCTCACAAGTGTTTTGAGATTGTAAAAGTACTGCTATTCAGTGATAGCCTCTGGCATTCACCTTAAGGTTATTGATAATGTTACCTCCGTGGATGCTTTTGAAACCAGCAACTTCATTCAGTGAAAAACAGAAAGGCATGTTAACTTTGTACCGATTCTTCAGCATGCCAATATAGTGGCAGCATTTCCTGTAAACGCTTTGAACCAGCGAAAAATAAAAAATGTCTGGCTGTTTCTCTTTAAAGATGTTTGAGTAGTTGCTCCCTTGAAGTCTTTGGTTTAATGTCAACTATTCTCCATGACGTTTTGTGTCCACTATTGTTTGCTTGTTGAGGACTATTAAAGTGACTTTCTGTTTCATCTGGTTTTGTCTTTCCACTGAATAAAGCCAATTGAACATTATCTTTAGGACATTTTTGCATTTGCTCTCATTGTTTTGTTTGGGTTTTATTCAAAGTTTGTGGGTGTGAAAGAATGAAAGTGAAAAGTGGGTGTGTTGCACTAATTGAGCTAATGTGACACTGAAACCCAAGCTGCATCCATTTTCCTCTTGGCCTTTGAGGCTGTTCATGACAGCTGTGCTGTACGGTTGACGTTTATTCTATTTTGTTCTACAATACATCTGATGCACCGTATTCTGGAAATATTCCCTTTTGACACAAACAAATTGAAATAACTACTTTTAGATGCATTCAAATTGGCCCTTTTATAGGTTATAATATGGAACAAAGCAGCATTCCCCCCTCTGGCTCTTCACTGAGAGTTCAGATGTTTTAAGGTTTATGACTGACAACATTCTTCAACCAACAGGTAACTGTGAATCCACCTCTGAGGGGACACTGTGTTACAAAGAGTGCAAATGATGTTGTTTCTATGTCTTTTCTTGACATAAATTAAAGAATTGAACAGAATTTACAAGTAAGACAGCAGTTGAAACGTATTCTTTGCAGTGCGTGCATGCTATTTGAATGTACATCTGTGCCAAAATAACTCTGTGTTTAATTAAACCTGTTTTCCTAACTGAGAGAACATAACTGAAGACACTCCCAAGAAGAGATGCAGACAATACTGCGTCTGTCTTTATTATTCAATGTTTAAATAATGTTCCAAGTAAGTTTGTACTGCATATTGTAGTCCTTTCAAATGTATAAAATAAAACCTCCTTGGTCCTGAAGAAAAACATATTGCATAGACCCTCACACAAATAATAGAGACTACAACACCTCTGTTGTGCAATAAAACGTGTGTGCAATATGTAAACTGGAATTATTTTACGGATGTCACTTGTACATTTAAATACTTTAATTTTTTTAAATAGTATGTGCATGCCCTTTCTTATAGTGTTGTATTCTTAGTCTCTATATTCACTTTTGCTGTAAAAATGTACATTTCCCCTCTGTGGGAAGAATAAAGGTTCTGATTTCAATGTTTTGTTTAACAAGATGTATGTTTTATAAAGCACAAAGTGTGTTGGGTAACCCATATACTAATGGATCATTTGTTGTTGGTCTATTTGTTTTTTGGATTAGCCAAATTCAGTTTTTGTGATGTAATTTTTGTGACAGAATGTTTAAGAAAAACAATATGAAACAAGTGAAGTAAGTTCATATCAAAGTTTATTTTCAGAAACAAATAAGTACAAAAATGGCGCAGAAGGGTCATACAAAAGCACTTGCTTATTTTGACAGATGGACATGGTCCAATAATACCATAATAATAATAATAATAGCAAATACATGACAATAACAACAATACATCTTGTGGAAACCCTCATTATGCTCCATGCAGAGGCATTATCACTTGATGCTTGTTCAATGGGCATGTAAGGCATTAGGAGATCACAGGCAACAGCTACAGTGAGCATCTGCCTCCTTCCATGCAGGCATAATTTAAAGTCACAGACACATCAGATTTGAAGGAGAACTCATCATACAGAGACACATACATCTGAACACACTAACATCCTCAGCAGCACAAACAGGAAGCTGGATCTTTCGTCAGTATCCCCCCCCATAGAGGGGCGGTTCAGACAACAGGTCCTGTAGTTCATGCAGTCCACCTCTCCTCCAACTTTGAAATAACATTTGGCTCTCAAACTATACAGAGTGAGGTAATAAAAAAATACATTACATTAAATAAAAAGGTTTTAAATATGTTTCATATATGCACCACAGGTGCTGAATGCAATATGTGTTCAAAACTTTGAAGTGCAAAACACATTCGTTTGGTGTTAAGTACACAAATGCTTTCATGAGGTTCAACACATCTACAGACAATAATACCACCGAGTAGAAAGATAAATAAGCCGTCTTTCTTTCTCTACCATTCAAATGACTGTTCATAAATTTCATCAGTAGTGACAGCAGCAGCAAAGAGAACCAATTGAGAAAAGTCAGTTCAGCCAGTCCAATAGAAATAATTCTGTTTTTTTTCCCTTTCAGTTTCTGTGGTTCCGAGCTTAGTGGCACATACCGATCTCCTTCTTGTATCGCTTGGTGAGAGAGTCAGCCTGCACGGTGAGCTTGGACAGGACCCCTTGCAGCCCGGTCAGGTGGAACTGGAACTGCTTCTGCAGATCCTCGTCTTCCTCCTCTTCCTCCTCGGATGAAAAGGATGATAGTGATGATGCGGAAGAGATGGACGCGGAGGAGTTCTTGCGGCTGATCACCATGCTCTCCTTGTGCCTCTCATCGGCCTCTGCACGCCTCACCCCCACCTGGATGTCCCTGCGGATGGACTTGAGCAGCTCGTAGTAGCTGTACATGTCCCCCTCGTCCTCATCAGATTTAATGGAGTTCGTCATCTCCCTGTCCTCCTCCAGCTCCAGCGGGACGTCCATGAGCATGCTGGGCAACATGACCGTCTGGTCCATGTTGTTCACGGCGCCGATGAATCTGTTCATGGCGTTGAACAGGGAGTTCTTCTGCGACGGGGATTCTTGCTGCATCATCATAGTGGCGAGTTTTTTTCTTGTGGAAGATCAGTTACTTGTTTGTTTCTCCTCTGTGGCTTTATTTCCGGGCTGATCGGCTTAGAGTAGCGTCTGCTTGGCTGTAATTCTTCTGCGGGGATTGGCTGTCGTGTAAATCAGGCGAGTTGAGTTGTCCCGTGTGTTCAGTGTTTGAGCTTTTTTCGTAGTTTCTGTTTTGTGAAGAGAAAGGTGTGCGTTTATATAGGAAAGGTTTCCGGCTTTAGAGGCGGTCCCACAACCTGTTTATCAAGTTTGTATGCAGTTGAAACCAGAGCTAAATGACCTGAAGTAGCACACAACAGAGAGTTTTGTCATTTCTGTCAGGAAGGGGAGTGGCTTTAAATTGACAGTTAGGGGGGGGGGGGTGAAACCAACTCAACAACATGCACAGCCACAGACACGAATACAAAGCTGCACTCTTTATCGCGCGTAATTACGCACAACAGTTGTCAATTCAACCCAGTGTTATCACAAACTTAATGTGCTCTTCTCTGAGAATATGCTTGGATTTCCGGTGAAACAAATGACATAATCACATCGCACATTCTGTTCCGATGACAGGCAGGGTGAGGCCTGACCGAGCAGGACCGATGATATACATATTCATTAAGCCAGCCATCAGCCCACTGCTCAGGCAAACACACAGCCAACCAGGGGGACGTGGAGGCGGGACAAGTCCATTTTGGACTAATGACGAGGCCACTGTTGACTCGCTCACGTTTTGGAAGAAAGAAGCAACAAGTGTTTGAGAATATCAGATTTTCACTGATTATATGCTTCATTCGTAGATGTACACTTACTGAGTCACCCATAATCGGAAGAAGTATTCTAAAGGTACATATACCTAAAATTAAATGTTTACAAGTTGTTTATCAGCCAAATATACTTCCATCAAAAATAAAACCAAGCCCATCCTTGACAGTTTGCAGACATAACATGATGTAAACGTTAGATAACTGGTGTTATAAATTATGAATTCATTGCATTATTTTTTTTTATTTAGCCTTTATTTATACAGGTGTAAAATCTCATTGAGACACAAGGTCTCATTTTCAAGAGAGACCTGTTCAGTGGTAACACTACCACACAAAGTTACAGACAGGACACTAAACACAGAGGCAACGCTAAAATAAAATAAAACATCGTAAAAAGTAGTCATTGAAATCCATATACAGTAGTCAGATATTGCAGGTGCAAACACCCACAGAAGATTTCTCCAGCTTTTTAAAAATTAGTTTAAAATCAGCTTAAGTTCCTGCTGAA